GGCGTGGGGCTCTTGGCTGTGCGCTGCTCACTCATGGGCTGCTGGGATTTTTCAGGCCTCTGCTTTCCTGGGGCCCTGATGTGAGGTTGGAACTGGGGCCCCTGCCACCCCGCAGCCCTCCCTGGTCCTGTACACCCCCCTGGGTCTCTGCCAGTTTTTACAGCCTCCTGGCTTGACCCCTCTTTCCACACTGAGGCTCAGGTCTGTGCTCAGCTCATCCCTGGCCACATCTGGGCCATGGCAGCTGTCCACACCACACCTGGCACTGATGGGGAGCCAAGGAGGCCTCACAGGAGGAACTAGACCCACGCACAGCTCTACATCCCCACAGGCTGTCCCCACTGTGCCAGGCTGTCCCCACTGTGCCGGTGTCGAGGGCTCTGCCCAAACAACCTCTTCCCAGGCCAAACGACCTTTTCCCAGGTCCCGGGGGTCAGGGGCAGGGGGGACCGGGGCAGGGAGGGAGAACAGGGGAAACCACGCCACCACTACCCTCCTCGGCCTCCCTCCCTGCAGTGTCCAAGGTCCGAGCAGGTGGGCTTTCTCGTGTTTTCTCTGGGTCTGTCTGCACCTATAGACAAGAACCCTTCATGAGGGAGAAGCAACATGCTCAGGCCTATCCTTGGAAGGGTTAAAAGAGGAAGGTTCCCGAGGGACCAGCAGTTAGCGTAATGGCTATGTCGCTGGACTCCCATGTAGTCGACTGTGGTTCACATCCTGGACCCGGTGGCTTAAAACTCACGCTGGGCACATGTGCATGCGTGCCCAGGATCCCAAGGGGGAGGGCATGGATTGCGGCGTGGCCATCCCCCCTGGGGGGTGATTTCTCGCTTTCTGTCTCTCTGTCTCTGTCTGTCTGGCGAGCATACGTGCCGTATAGCAATACAAAAGCTCTCTCTCAAAAAAAAAGGGAAGTTCCCGTTCTAGAAGGTGCTAACTTTGGAAGGTTAAACAAGGTCACAGGAATTTAAAAATTTCTTTCGCAGTGACGCCTCGATTTCGAACCCTTCTCCCTGCTGCAAAATCCTGCTCTGAATGTGTTCACTATGGTTCTCAGGGCAGCCCAGTCTTCCCCTCCATTCCCTTGGCTCCCCAGGCAGATGCAAGCTGCAGAAGCACTGGAGCGGCTGCTCCCCTCCCGGCTTCTCCTCTCCTGAGCACAGAGGCCACATTTCCCAGCCACGCTTGCAGCTGGGTGTGGGCATGTCAGTCCCAGCCGGTGGAGGAAAGGGGAAGGGGGCCTCCTGCACCGTCTGCACCCTTCCCCCAGCCACCAGGCAGAGCCAGATGGATGACTATTTAGAGCCCCCACCTATCAGGGACTCCCCTTTGGAGTTCATGTGAGAAAGAAAGAAGCTTCTCTTGTGCAAAACCCCTGGGATGCTAAGGTTTATTAGTTACAGCGAGAGCTTTACACCAACTAGTGGGTTATTCGTGTGTGAATGCAAAACAGAAAAGCACATTAGCATCTTCTCAAACTGTTGCTCCTGCTGCAGAGATAAAGCAGACCCAGTTCTCCCAAGGCTGCTTCTCCTCTTTGGCCTGGCCAGTATCTGTTAAAATTCCTTTAGTTTGGGGCCAGCAGGTGGCATAGTGGTTAAAGGCACTGGACTCCCATATGGCCAACCGTGTTTCGAGTCCCAGACCCTGTGGCTTGAAACTCATGTCTGGTGCATAATTTCTCCTCCTCTCCCTGGAGAAGGAAATGCAGTGTGGTCATCTCCCAGGGGGTGATTTCTCATTTCCTGTCTCTCTTTCTCTCTAGTGAGCATATGCACCCTTTAGCAAAAAATGCTCTTTCTTTTTCTTTCTTTCTTTTTTAAGAGAGATTTTTGCTATAGGGCACATATTCTCACCAGAGAGACAGAGACAGAAAGACAGAAAGCAAGAAATCGCCCCCCAGAATCTCTCCTCTTCCACTCTCCTCTCAGGGTTTTGGGCATGCACACACATGGGCCTGGCATGAGTTTCAAGCCGCTAGGTCCAGGACTTAATCAGAGTTGACTACATGGGAGTCCGGCAATGTAACCGTTAGACCACCTGCTGATCCTTAGCAAAACATTTCCTGAAAAAATTAAAAATGCTTTCAGTTTCTTCTAGGGCCAGCCCTCTGCCCTACCTCTCTTCCTATGGGTGCCTGGGCCTCAGTGGGTCCCGTTTAGCACCCACGTGCAAGTGATTTGCAAGGGCCTACTTCTGAACTTAGACCTGTATCTCGAATGGCCAGGATGTATCAAAGGTCCCTCAAACTCAGCCTATCCCAAGGCAGACCTACAACCCTCACCCCTACACGCACTGGCTTTCTCCCCCACAGATGGATGCTCCTTCATCAGGTTCTCAAAGAGACCCTTTGTGGTGCCTCCCTTCGTCCTCCCCACACCCCACCCTCCATCTGTCAGCAAGACTCATAGGTTTTCTCTCCTAAACACCTAGCCGATCCTCTGCGCCTCTACCGCCGCCCAGTCTCTCCCACCTGGCTCACCACCTGGGCTCCTGATCCCCTCCGGTTCATTTTTCCACCCTGAGCTTTACGATCTTTGCAAAATAAGAATATGATTTATGTCCCACTCTGCTGCAGGAAACTCTTCTAGACGTCTCCCTGTTCTTCAAAAATGACAGCAGCCCAGGAAGCCCCCTGCTGGGCCCAACCTGCTTCTCTGGCCCACTCCTGCACACCTGGGTCCCTGCACTCCAGCCTCTGGCTCCCTCGAGCTCTGTGCTGCCAGGCCTCTCCGGTCCTAGTCCGAGAGCACCGCTCACGTTCAGCCCTGCTTTGGGAACCCGCTGCTCCTCTAGCCAGCCTTCATTGCTCCTCTCAAGCATCACTTCCTCCAGGAGCCCTGGAAGAGGTCAGATCCCTATTACAAACTTTCACGGAGCCTGGTGCTTCCTCCCTATCGTGCTTCCTGGGGTGCAACTGTACTTCTGATGCCTTAGTCTGTGACGTATCACCCTCACTTCTACCCCAGCACTGTGCACTCGGTCTTCTCTGCTCCTGCTGTGACCTTCCTCAGATAGCACCGAGGCCGGCCCGCCCTGCTCCAAGTCTCTGTTCGCATGTCACCTTGCAGATGAGGACTCATCAACAACCTAACCTGAAATTGCGACTCCACCCCCACCCCCAGCCTCATGCACCCTAACCTTCTTCTCTAAGGAGTTGCTATCTTTTCTTTTCTTTCTTTCTTTTCTTTTTATTTATTTATTTTGGAGAGGTTTTTGCTATAGGGCATGTGCACTCACCAGAAAGACAGAGCGAAAGAGAGCAATCACGCCCCAGGAGGGATGGCCACACCACAATCCCTTCTTCTCCATTCTTCTCTCTGGGATCTTAGGCACGCACACACAAGCCACTGGGTCCTAGACTTGAACTGCGGTTGACTACATGGGAGTCCAGCGACATAGCCATTATGCCAACTACTGGTCCCTCCTTTCTTTCTTTTTTTTTTTTTTTTAGGATTTTTTTTTTTTTTCCCCGTAGGGTGCATGCACTCACTGGAGAAAAACAGAGAGGGATGAAACCAGCTGATGGTGTATGGTTAGCTGACCACTGTGTGAGTCCCAGATCCATTGGCTTGAACTCATGCCAGGCTTGTGTGCGCATGCCCCAAATCTCAAAAGGAGAATGGACGGGAAGGGATTGTGATATGACCATCCCCCGGGGGGTGATTTCTTACTTTCTGTCTTTCTGTCTCTCTGGTGAGCAGACATGCCCTATAGCAAACATCACTCTAAAAGGAAAGAGAGAGAGAAAGTGAGAAATCACCCCTCAGTGGGTATGGCTATGCTACAATCCCTTCTGTTCTATTTTCCTCTCACGCACACATGCCCAGCGTGATTTTCAAGCCACTGGGTCTGGGACTCGAGCCGTGGATTTTGCCATGTGGGATCCAGCTCATTAACCACCATGCCACCTGCTGGCCCATTTTCTGTACTTTTTTAAAAGTTTATTTTTAAATCGGCAAGCATGTAAAAGATGTGTATTTTATCGTGCACAGCATGGTGTTTTCACAATACACATGTTGTGGACTGCCACCCCAAGCTATTCAAATATGTCTCATCTCATATACTTACCATTTTCTTGAGGTGAGAACCCTTCAAATCTACTTCCTCAGCGATTCCGAACTTCAGTCACCACGGCGAACCAGAGACCTCCTGAACTTATTCCCAGTCTGGGAGAGCTGCTGTCTCTGGCATGCTCTTTATTCATTCGGTTCATCTTGTTTAAAGTATCTCATCTTCTCTACAATGTTACTCCACAGGGTAGGAGCTTCTCCTCTCGTTCATGCCTGGTCCAGAGTAGGCACCTGGTGAGCTTAAGCTGATCAGTGAATACCGTAACATATTTTTAGGCGGGACTGACATCCATTTCCTACAGCGGGCACAGGGCTTAGGGCACACGCTACTTATTTATAAACGAGCGCCAAATATTTGCTTACAACTGAAGGCACAAAACTTGTATTCGTTTCTTTTAAAATCAGAAGAAAAAGGGACCAGCAGGTGGCGTGGTGGTTAAGGCGCTTGACACTCCCACATGGCTGACCATGATTCAAGTCCTGGACCTGGTGGCTTGCTTTCTCACTTCCCCTCTCTCTCTCTTTCTCTCTGTCTCTCTCTGGTCAAATTAAAATAAATGGATGAATAAATAAAATTAAATAAATAATTATTTTTTTAAAAAAATCAGAAGAAATAAAAGAGAATTCTTAGGTCAAGGAGAGTGAGTTCATATAGTATAGTAGTCCATGCACCTTTAGACCAACACTGGCGAAAGAAACACTTGAATATATTTTATGGAGGAAGGAACCCAGGAAAGTCGTAGCGTAGCCCGTGCCCGGGCTTTGGAGCAGACCCGGGTTGTCGGTGCAGCCGGCGGGCGGCGGGGCGGTGCCGCTTTAAGGATGCTCTGCGGGTACCGCGCGGCGGCGGGAGGGGGCGGCCGTGACGTCACGGTCCCGCCCCGCGGCTGATGCTGCAGCACCAGCGGCGGGCCGGGGGCTGCCGGCGGGCCCCGAGCTGCACCCGGGGCAGGCAGGAGCCCAGCCTGGGAAAGGGATGCCTCCCGTCTCGGACCACAGGTACCGCCCTTTCCTCCTGCGCCCTCCGCCGGATTCCTAGGCCTTGTGCTGGGAGCGCTGCGGCTTAGGCCCCAGGGCGATCGGAGTGCCCGAGATCGGGGCTTGAGGCTGGCACGGAGACCTTTGTTCTTCTTGGCTACCTAATTCATTGAGTCGTAAATGGAGCGCCTGTTTCACCCCCTGGGTGCGGAGCCCTCAGGCCCAGAGGAGGGTAGCAGTTGGGGGACAGGTTTATTTCATCCTTGCTAGTAAGGAGAGGAGACGCTGGAATTGGTCCCCGCCTATGGTGTGCTTATTGACGCCGGAGGCCTGTTCCCTGGTCACCTGGGCAGGTGTCATCATCTTCCGGTTCACCTCCTGCCTGAGGCTGAACCCTCTGGCCGGCCAGGGGCCACTGCATAGCTCCTCTGGCATCTCAGGGCTCCTTGTGAAGAGCACCAAGGATTTCTGCCTTCCGAGTCACCATTCAAGGGCGACATGCTAAGGTCGGAACCAGCGCCTTCCCAGCAGTTGAGCTCATTCAAACCTCCAGGGTAAATAACCCCATTCCCAAATTGGGCCAGCAGGTGGCCCGGAGGTTAAGGCCGCCAGATCCCACATGGCCAGCTCCACAGTCAGAGTCCCGGACCTGGCAGCTTGAAAAACATGCTGGGCGTGTGTGTGCCCAAAATCCCTAAAGGAGAATGAAGAGGGATTGCAGTGCGGCCACCCTGGCCCCCTCAGGGGGGTGATTTCTCACTTTTCCTTTCTATCTCTTTCTCTGTTTCTCTCAGGCAAGCCCACACCCCTATAGCAAAACTAATCATAATAATAACTTCACAAATTATTTCTGGAGTTACCAAAATATTTCTATTTTTCAGCCCTTTAGGGAAGTAGAATCAAGGGCTGATGGAACCCAAGTTAATGTGCGTCTGGCCAGGGCTTGGGGGAAAAGTTGGCTCTCATGTAAGGGTCAAATTGCAGGAGGTAGAAAGTGAGAAATGGGCCATAGTTTGGTAACTTTTTTTTTTAAAGAGAGAGAGATTTTTCCCATAGGGCGTGTGCACTCACTGAAGAGACAGAAAGCAAAAACTTCACCTCCTGAGGGGATGGCCACTGCAATCCCTTCTCTGCCATCCTTTTCTTGGGATTGGGCACTCATGCACACGTGCCCAGCGTGAGTTTTAAACTGCTGGGTCTGGGACTCAAACCACGGTTGACTCTGTGGGAGTCCAACAACATAACCATTATGCCATATGCTAGTCCCCAGTTTGGTAACTCTTAATAGCTTTGTTTTTAAAGGTTTTTGCCATAGGGTACATGCACTCACCAGAAAGACAGAGAGAAACTGAGAGGTGAAGTGAGAACTCCCCCCCTGGGGGGTGGCCACACTGTAATCCCTTCTCCTCCATTCTCCTCTTGGATGGGCATGCACACACATACACCCTGTGAGTCCCAAGCCTCTGGATCTGGTACTTGAACTGCGGTTGGCCATGTGAGAGTCCAGCACATTAACCACTGTGCCACCCACTGGCCCTGGTAACAAGCTTACTAAATATAGCCTCCCATGTCTGCAGAGCTCTTTGGAGGTCTGCAAAGACTTCCTTGAGGTATTAACGTTGAGAATCAGTAAAATGAAAGCAGGGAAGGGAGGTGGCTTGAGTAGCCCCATGCTACTTCACACAGGGAAGGGAAGAGAGAAATGAGGAAGGGATTTGGGTTCATAGCAGGATAGTTTTAACTATGCAAATTATAGGGACATTGCTAGTTTTTTTAATAATCATTTGTCGCTTAAACTTCCCATGATACAATTTGAAGACTCTGTCACTTTAAGCATCCCCTGTGTTCTGGAAGCACCGGGGCCCAGTGTCTAGGGGTTCAATATTAAGTGTGCACCTTCTTTTGACTGAGCACATGGTCACCTAATGTGATAAAGATGGCCTGGTGCATATTTCTATTAGTGCATTAAAATTCTATTTTATGGGACCAGCAGTTAGCATAATGGCTATGTCGCTGGACTCCCACGTAGTCGACCGTGGTTCAAGTCCCGGACCCGGTGGCTTGAAACACGCCAGGCACATGTGCGTGCGTGCCCAAGATCCCAAAAGGAGAATGAAGGAGAAAGGATTGCAGCGTGGCCATCCCCCCTGGGGGGTTATTTCTCACTTTCCATCTCTCTGTCTCTCTGTCTGTCTGGTGAGCACACGTGCTCTATAGCAAAAACCTCTCCAAAAAAATTCTATTTTATTATTTTAAGATTCATTTTCACTCATCTTATATTACTATTCAAAAACAGATTTTGAAAATTCTCCTTAGAATAAACTTTCATAAACAACTTTTCATAAACGTATTTTTAAATATAAATGGTAATACCGATCCCCAAATTTAAAATCTTAGCAAAGACTTTTTTTCTCAGGTTTAATTCTGGCTAAGGGGTTGGTTAAGTGGGGTGCGAGGGTTCACTTTCGCTGGGATAGGCTGCAAGTTGTGTTTTTTTGTTTTGTTTTGTTTTGGTTTGCTGTAGTATGTGTGTGCTTGTTGGAGAGAAGAGTCAACCCCCTCCCCCCTAGGTGGATGGCCATGCCACAGCTCCATATCTTTCATTCTTCTCCTTGAACTTTGGGCACATACACGTGCCCAGTGTGTTTTCAAGCCACCAGGTCTGGGACTTGAACTGTGCACGGTTGGCCATGTGGGATCCAGCCTCCTAAACCACACACCACCTGACTGGCCCATGCGGGCTATGTTTTTACTGGGGGGTGGTGGGACTGTTGTACTGTAGATAGAAAAGGGGGCTAATCTACATAGTCATTTTAAGTAGAATCAAAAATTTCTGCTTTTCAAAATATCTTCTGCCATATGCTTCTTAAAGCTGAGAGTTTTCCAGGGCCAGCAGATGGTATAGCAGTTATGTTGCTGGACTCCCACATGGTAGGCCATGGTGCAAGTCCTCGACCCGATGGCTTCAAAATCACTCTGGGCGCATGTGCGTGTCTCCCCAAGATCCTGGGAGGAGAATGGAGGAAAAGGGATTGTGATATGACCATCCCCTCTGAGGCGTGATAGCTCACTTTCCCTCTCACTGTTTCTTTGTCTCTGTCTCTGCAGTGAGTGCACATGCCCTAAGGGAAAAACCTCTTAAAAACAAAAACAAAAGCAAACCTAAGAACCTGAGAACTTTCCAAACTGGGCCTGAGTCTTCATTCCAAAGGGAAAAGGATGTAATGCACGTGCACTTCAGTTCACATATGGGGGCGGGGAGTGCTGACAGGAAAGAGAAGGTGCGGTGCTGCTGTGTCCCTGAAGGAGAGAGGAGCTGGGTAGAGGCGGAAGGAAGCTGCCCACTAAGGGCAAGTGGAGTCGTGACTTGCAGGTAGAGTCCAATAAGCTATCCAACGCACCTTGCTAAGGCCTCACTTCTGACTCTTACGGAGGGGCTGAATCAGCCATCAGCCTCTGTGCTGTAAATGAATGAAGCTCCAGGAAGTGCTGACAGCTACCTGGGTTTTTGGAAGGAAGATTAGCCAATCACTAGATTTTACTATGCAGAAGTGCCTGAGCTTGACCAATGATGAAATTTAAACCACCTTAGTTTTTTTTTTTTTTTAAATGTAATCTTGATTTAATCTTCATTAATGGATTATATTTTAAATGAAGCATCACTTGCCTACAAAGTTCTTACTTCATCTGTTCATGTTTTGCCAAAGAGCAGGATATTTGTCTAGGTCCACAAGATAAGTCACTTATACAAGTGACAGTAGACTGAGTCTCTGGCTGTGTCACTGTCACCTTGGCATAGAGGGCATCTCTTAGCAAGGCTTCAAGGCCCTTGCTATCAGCTCATGCCTTCCTGGAGCATCATCTCGCCATGCCTGCTGTGCCCACTGTTGTTCAGATCTCTCTTACACACATGAGCCTGCTGCTCAGAGCACCTTGCCTCCACTTTTCCACCTAACTCGAGGGCAGGAACTTCTTCCTTTTCTATCTATGACCTCAAAGTCTTGTTAGTTAGTACTCAGCCAAATGGGAAGGTGGATGGGTGGATGGATTATTAATGGATGGACAGATGGGTGGATGCCTGGAAAGTGGATGGTAGATGAGGGACAAAAGGGACAGGTGGATGAGTGGATGGAAGGGTATGGAGGTGAGCGTGTAGATGGTTGGTTGAATGGATGACAAGATGAATGAAAGGGAGGATGAGTGGAGGGTGGATAAATGAGAGGATGAGTGAGTGAACGAGTGGGAGGGTGACGGAGTAGGTAGAAGGATGGGTGGATTGGATAAATGGATGAGTGGATGGATGGATGGATGGGTGGGTGGTTCAACACAGCGTTCTGAATCCTGCTAGTGTGTCTCTAGATACAATCATTTTCACCGCTGGTATCTTCTGAAGAGAAGAAGCATAATCCCTGAGTGGGTGGAGTGGTGGAGGCGTTTGGGACACAAATCTGCAACGAGGAACTCCAGAGTGATTCATAAGGAAGTTATCAAGTAGCAATAGTATGATGGAAAGTGGTCTGGTAAGTTAATATCGGAAATAGAGCAAGAAAGGGTGTTTTTGAACCTTAAACCAGCCACCAGGTAGCGTAGTGGTTAATGCACTGGACTCCCACATGGTCGAATGCAGTTGAGTCCTAGACCAGGTGAATTGAAAATCATGTTGGGGGGCTGGCAGGTGGTGTGGTAGTTAAGGGCGCTGGAATCCCACTTGGCTGACCATGGTTCAAGTCCCAGATCTGGCGGCTTGCTTTCTCACCTTCCTTCTCTCTCTCACTCTGTCCCTCTCTGGTCAAATAAAATAAATGAATGAGTAAATAAATAAAGTTAAAGAAAATAATTCTTTTTTAAAAAGAAAAAGAAAAAAGAGAATCACACTGGGTGCATGTGCATGCATGCCCAAAATCCCAACAGGAAAATGGAGGAAAAGGGACTGTGGCATGGTGACCCCCCCAGGGAGTGAGTTCTCACTTTCCCTCTCTCTGGTCTCTCTCTGATGAGTGATGCACCCTATGGCAAAAACCTTAAAAAAAAAAAAAAGATAAAAATTAAGAAGATAAGCTATATTATATTATTTATCTCGTTAAATGACAAGTGGGATCATCAGGAAACCTACCAATGCCAGGGCCTCTTCTCAGGAAGGACCTCACAGACAATGTTGCCAATTGCTTTTTCTAGGCAAGGAGAAGCCTAGAACTTTCCTTGTCTTAAGTTTGCATCTGTGTCTCCCTCGGATCTCAGTCACTTCCTTCTCCCTGTGCTCGGTAGAATGGATACTGGCTAAAACACACAGGTCAGCATGTTAGCATTCATTCCTTTAATATTTATAATCCAGATTTATTTTAAAAAAAAAACAGTCAGATGCTCAGAAGGGTTTGTTTGTTTGTTTGTTTGTTTGTAGAGGGTTTTTCTTAGGGTGCTCACTAGAGAGAGAGAGACAGAGACAGTGAGAGAGAAAGTGAGAAATCACCCCCCAGGGGGATGGCCACGCTGCAATCCCTTCTCCTCCATTCTCCTTCAGGATCTCGGGCATGCACACACGTACACCTAGCATGTTTTGAGCCACCAGATCCGGGGCTTGAACCATGGCCAGCCATGTGGGAGTGTCTCTCTCTGATGAGTGATGCACCCTATGGCAAAAACCTTAAAAAAAAAAAAAAGATAAAAATTAAGAAGATAAGCTATATTATATTATTTATCTCGTTAAATGACAAGTGGGATCATCAGGAAACCTACCAATGCCAGGGCCTCTTCTCAGGAAGGACCTCACAGACAATGTTGCCAATTGCTTTTTCTAGGCAAGGAGAAGCCTAGAACTTTCCTTGTCTTAAGTTTGCATCTGTGTCTCCCTCGGATCTCAGTCACTTCCTTCTCCCTGTGCTCGGTAGAATGGATACTGGCTAAAACACACAGGTCAGCATGTTAGCATTCATTCCTTTAATATTTATAATCCAGATTTATTTTAAAAAAAAAACAGTCAGATGCTCAGAAGGGTTTGTTTGTTTGTTTGTTTGTTTGTAGAGGGTTTTTCTTAGGGTGCTCACTAGAGAGAGAGAGACAGAGACAGTGAGAGAGAAAGTGAGAAATCACCCCCCAGGGGGATGGCCACGCTGCAATCCCTTCTCCTCCATTCTCCTTCAGGATCTCGGGCATGCACACACGTACACCTAGCATGTTTTGAGCCACCAGATCCGGGGCTTGAACCATGGCCAGCCATGTGGGAGTCCAGCCACATAACTGCTACACCATCTGCTGGGCCCCAGGAGAAGGTTTCTAAGCAGGGCAGATTGCAGACCACAGGGGGCAGAGGACAGAAAGGGGGGATGGAGTGAGGGCATGGATGTCTTCGAAGGCCTTGCACTTACTAATTTTCCACCTGGTGGGGAAAAAATCTGTTTCTCACCCCTCCTTGGTTCTTTTTGTCCCTTCCCCCTTTTCTTTTGGTAAACTGTATCTTTGTTCAGTGTTAAAGGACAGGATTTGGAATTGGATTTATTTCTTTAAAGAGAGGTTTTGAACACAGCAGAAGTTTCATGTTCCTGGAGGAAGATGTACTCACTCAGTAGCTGCTGAAAGGAAGGGGCTTGTGCTGACCCGGTGCTGCCCAGGGCAAGGACCCCTCTGGCCGACTCTGGGCAGTAAATAGGAGAGTTAGGGATGAAGGAGCTGGCCCGACTTCCCTGCGGTGAAGAAAGGGCTGCCCCCCACAGCTAGCACACCTGTGCGGTAGGTAGGCCCTGTCCCACGCCTGTCTCCCCTCCTCTTGGGTCCCCTGAAGGCCTCAGGGAAGGGTGTTAGCCCTGGAATGGGCTGCAGGTCCTGCAGCAGCGAGGTGTCCTGAGGGGAGCCCAGGCTATTGGCTGCTCTTGCATGCTCAGGAGGTCCTCCGTGTGACTGCCCTCACAGAGCCTCTGCTTCGGGGGACGGTCCCTTTGAGTTTTAGTGTGGGGGCCTGTAGGACTGGGGGCTCTCCCAGCAGGACGAGAGCATCGGGCTTTTCTCCTTGGGCAGCTGAGAACATGCTGCCTCCTAGGAAAGCGCGGCAGGTCTTCTCGGGGTGCGGCGTTTGACCTCGAGCTTCTCCAAGGGGCACTCCCCTTCTCACAGCGGAAAGGGGGTGGAGGCAGCTGGGGAGGACATGCTGCACAGTGCGCGGGGATGGAGGCCCAGGTGAAAGTAACTGTCGTCGCCTGCGGGCTTTCCTCACAGGGACACCCGCCCGGCCTCTCCACGATGATCCCCCCCGCGAGCAGCACCCCTCCGGGAGAGGCCCTCTTCCCCAGTGCTGCTCCTCAGGATTTCTGGAGGTCGCAGATCTCGGGTTACTCGGGGTCTGTGACACGGCACATCAGCCACCGGGCCAACAATTTCAAACGACACCCCAAGAGGAGGAAGTGCATTCGTCCCTCTCCACCCCCGCCCCCCAACACCCCATGTCCGATTGAGCTGGTGGACTTTGGAGACCTGCACCCCCAGAGGTCCTTCCGGGAGCTGCTCTTCAACGGCTGCATTCTCTTTGGCATCGAGTTCAGCTACGCCATGGAGACGGCGTATGTGACCCCGGTCCTCCTGCAGATGGGCCTGCCCGACCAGCTCTACAGCCTGGTGTGGTTCATCAGCCCCATCCTCGGTGAGCCCTAGCCCAGCCCCCACGGTGTGCGGCCTCCCGGAACCTCCGGAAGCTTCTGGAAGCCTCTACTGAAGCAGCTTGAGGGTCCTGAGGGGACAAGGGGGGAGCAAGTTAAGTTCCACTCATTAGTATGGGCCATAGGGAAACACAGGTAGGGCCGTCGTATCCCATGTGTCAAGTTCTTTTATCTAAACCAGGCAAGGGCGCAGACATTTAGCAGACCCCAAGGACTGCCACCATCCATGCCTGCACTCTCACTGAAGCCTGATGGGGTTTTGGGCTGGGAGGGTGGGGAGTTTCCTGGATTCCCAAAGAAGGTCAAAGCTGCGCAGTTCCTTACGGAGTTCTGCGTAGAAAATTTGCAGGGTAGTCCCAGAGTCTGTTTGCCTGTTCGTTTCTCGCTTAGGATGATGTTTCTGACTCTGAGTTTCGCCATCTTATTCTCTGATGCATCAGGAAGTGTGAGAGCAGGTCCTGCAGGGAGTGAGGAGGCTGGGTCTGTGTCCTGTGTGTCCCAGGGTCCCAGCAATGACCACTGGCCTGCTCTGTTTCAGGATTCCTACTGCAGCCTCTGTTGGGTGCTTGGAGTGACCGATGTACCTCAAGGTTTGGAAGGAGACGCCCTTTCATTCTTGTCCTGGCGATAGGTCTGTTGTTTTAGCATGGAAATAAAATGGAAAACAAAACAAAACAAAAAACAAAAACAAAAAACAAGGCCCCAGCTGCTTCCTTTTGGGGAAAATCTAAGAGTATTGACCAAAGCAATTACCTAGATAACTCTGGGTCCTCACTGTTGTGGGTCAGACAGTTCCCATCCCTGTCAGAATTTGTCTCATTGGTCATTATTTTAAAATGACTAAAGTTCAACCCAT